GATGGGTGTATTTCATCATCGATCTTATCCATATTTGGCTATGTGAGCTTGTCTGTCCTTGTCCCTGACAGATATCTGCTGCACTGCCCATCACTTTATGTACCAACACACACAATATCTCATCTATCTCCTTTCCCAACAGACTGAGAGTCCAAACCAAAAGCCAACAATAATGGACAAAGAGACAGGACCAAACTTGGTTTGTTTCCACTGACGCTGCGTTTATAAAGCTGGATCAGATTAGCATTTCACCTGGTCTAATTGTTCCTGGCAACCACAGGAACTGAGATTATCTCAAGTCCGTTTGTTTTGGGAACATTATCTGCTTGTTGCAAACTCTGCTGCTGCCAACATGGCTCCATTACATTAAATCTCTCCCTTTGCTCTCTGGAAAGAAGCTTACTTAACGTGTGAAATAAGCTTAACTTTCTCTATTGGCTCTTACTTTGGTTTTATTGTAACGTAATCTTAAAATTGTAATGTTAAATCATATTGTGTATAGTTGTATTTCCGTTTATTCCATTTCTGAGGGAGTTTAGTATGTAACATTATAACTGACATGTGGAGATGCTTGACTTGCCAAAAGCTTGCGTATGTTTGCACAACAGCCTGAATTATTCACAAAGACCAGCAACCTCGCCAATAACTACTTAATGGACTAGAAGGGGGTTATTGACCCTGTATGCTGACAAGGTCAACCGACTGTGTGTGTGTGTGTGTGTGTAGTTGTGTGTCAGACGAAGACGAGAGCAGGAGAGAGGGATTTTATAGTTCAAGGATGTGTCTGCCTGTGAGTGAATATTTGACTTTCTGCTTGCTGCCCCTCTTTCCAAGCTGGGCTGAAAGATGAAGGCATGCATATTCATCAAGCCAGGTAAAGAATGAGTCTCTATGATGGCAAGAGATGAATATGGATGGCAGACTTATTCATACTTTGTGTGTGTGTCAGGAACCTCCAATCAGCCACTACTCTGAAGGTCAGAACACCTCTACAAGAAAGAGGATGGGTATTTAAGACCTGTATATCGACACAAAAGTACTCTGAGCATCCACAAGACCATAAATCCAACTGCATTTATGTCCAAATATTCTCACAGCGAAGAGTTCGGTCAAAAGAAAGCCAGGGCTTGTTCAATTACATAGCATAGAGGTGGGAAATCACAAATTACTTCGCTGATTTGAATGTTTTCATTCAATTCAGTCCAAAGATTCATTTTCACTGAGTATGTAGTTTGTCCACTTCTTTTCCTAAACTAAGTGAATCCATCACCTTTCAAAGGCACTTCAATGTACAAGAGTAAGCGAATGCATCATGTTCATTTTTTGCAGAAGAAAAATCAATCAAATGCACAAAATAATACGTTTTTAATTTACTTTTGAAAGCAGCTACATTCGGGGTTCATTTAAGGTCATCAGGAAATGATTTCCATCTGTGTACTGGAAAGAACACTTTTGTTTTCCCCAGTTGTTCTTTGTTATTTGTGATGTCCTTGTCGAATAAGAATTGAAAGAAAAATAAATAAGATAGCAGCGTGTGGGTCCCACAGTCAAAATGATTAAAAGTTTAATTTTACCAGTTGTCAGTGACTGTCAGCGTTCTCCAGCAAAAACCTAATTAATGCCAAGAAAGGATAAATTAGCTAAATAATCTGTGAAAGAAAAGGTTACAGTGTTTTACTGCATGTCCAGATGAATGAAGAGGTCTAATATTTAGCTGTGATTAAGGAAATATCACGCAAAGGCAAAACAGAAAGTAAAATGCACCATAATGTCAGAAAAAGATCCATTTTACAACAATTCTTTATGGCTGAATTTTCCTTTTGATTCATCACAATCTATTTTTGTCTGCAAGCATTTGACAGCCGCCTTAAAGGTCACAGTTAAAGTTGTTACACTAATGAACCCTACACTTTGAGGATAGTATTTTCTTCCTTATTAAATCACCTTAAAGGACCAAAAGCAGAAAAAGGTGGACAAAGATAGAGGAAGGCAGTGACAGACCTTCAGTAAAAGTGGCACTACAGCTCTCTGTGGGCTCAATTATTGCTCAGCCGAACAAGAGCAGAGGGACCCCCAGTTCTAACTTGACACTTGTGTTTGTCAGGGGTGCGAGGAGATAAAAGCTAATGGCTCTTCTTGATCTCAAATTTTTCCTGCTAAGCAGAGACTCTAGAAAGATACCGGTGTCAAAATGTGGCAGGTCAGTCCCCTGAAGCTTGTTTCAGTGAGAAGAGAGCAGAGGACACTGTGACAGAAACAACATCTTACTTATATTCTTCTGCGCTGTCATTGCTCGCCAGTCTAATATCATTTTACACAAACAACAGGAAAACACACACACACACACACACACACACACACACACAAACACACACACACACACACACACACACACACACACACACACACACACACACACACACACACACGCGCGCTCTGGCTCCACATTGTTACTGTATGTGCTTTGTTTTAGTTCCAGGTTTTATCGCCTTGCTTTGTGCCTCTAATTTCCTTTAAGGACTCTGTGATCACCTTCTTAGTTAAAAATCAGGTTTTAACTTAACTTGTCACATGCAGATGCATTCACTGCAGCAATAATACCACAATGGCTTCTTTACAGGCTAATTAAGATTTTATTGCCTGCAAATGTCACAGTGGAAGGGTAATGTGGAGTGACAAGTCATTAAAAAAAAACTGGTTATATTTCAAAGTAATTGTCCCCTAAGAAATAAATGTACACATAAATGTACACAGGTTGCAAGTCACTGATTTACATCCACAGCAGGTTGTGACTGATGTGGATTTGTTTCTCTGAAGCACATTAGAGACATCTACTGGCCAAAAAAGTTATTTTGGGTTTACACTTGGCCTGGTTGAGAAAACGATGAGATCACCTTCAAGATGTGATGTAATCTTTGGAGGATTTGGGAATTCTGCCCATAAAAGCCAATACGGCAGCTGCTTACATATTTCATCAAGAGTCAAGACAGAGTTAAGACCAGAATCTGAGTTTTTGTTATGTTACATAAAATGATCATGGCTTGTGACTCAATAACCAACTACACAGGTCACTGCTCTTTCAGACAGACAGCTAAAGCAATAAGCCTTTTTCACAGCAGACATGTTGACAAAGCATGAACAGCACAGGTGTAAATAACAAAAGTAAAGATGGCTGAATTCAATTTAGCTGCCTCAAGTCCGGCTATTGTGCAAGCTGGCTCATTGTCACAGCTTATTGGGAATACAACCGAGCCATCAAATGTTGTTAGTAACACTTGTGCTTTCTACTACAAGGAGTCAAAGTCTCTGCAATGAAAAAGACCTATTGGAAGTTAAATTAGCTAAATTGATATGTGTAAAATGACAATGTGACAGTCTGAAATGAGTCGCTCATTGTGTTGAACAGAAATCTGTAGCTCCTGCTTTAAAGTGAGTTTCACAGACACAGACACAGTTAGCGACTCACTAGCTCATGAACATAATGGAGCATTTAGCAGCTAATAGAGTTGGTGGAGACTAAGAACAGAGCTATTGCTAAGAGAGTGGAGACTGGCCTTATATTCATCAGGTGGATGCAAACACGACTTCAAATATATATAAAGTATGTATATATACACACATATATATGCACCAATCAGCCACAGCTTTATGAGCACTGACAGGTAAACTAAATAACACTGATTATCTTATCATGGCACCTATCAGTGGGTGGAATATATTAGGCAGCAAGTGAACATTTTGTCCTCAAAGTTGATGTGTTAGAAGCAGGGAAAATGGGCAGTGTGAGGATTTGAGCGACTTTGACAAGGGCCAAATTGTAACGGCTAGACGACTGGGTCAGAGAATCTCCAAAACTGCAGCTCTTGTGGGGTGTTCCCGGTCTGCAGTGGTCAGTACCTGGGTGCCCAGGTGGTCATAATGTTATGGCTGTTTAGTGTACACTGCAGGTCATAAATTTAAACTTCTTCAAATGGACAAGAAAGTTGAAAGACCACATTTCTTTGAAGATACTGTATTTTCATCTCACATTCCCATAAGGCTATCTAATAGTAGAGAAAATTATATTATAACATGACCTAAAGCTCAGCATTCTAGTGTAGACTTCAGCAAACACCTTACCTGTTCTGTCTGTAAAATAGGAGCAAATTTAGTGTCCGTTTGTGCAATCAATCACTTAGTAAGAGCAGAAATCACACTTCCAGATGTCTGCACTGACTGTGGAAGTACAGTCTTTCAGTCCATTTCAACATGGACATCATCTTTCTTCACTGTCCCTCCATCTTTGGCTAAATGTTAAGCAGCCGAGTCTGATGAAGCAGATGGACGCCTGTCTCTTGATGACTCCTGTCTTTATTACAAACGCTCAGATTAATACAGTCATTACAAACCCATACATTCATGACAATGACTGCGCTTTCTGTTCCTAATTAGGAGAATAATTCAGTCTGGTTTTGGTCCCTGCCAGGCGGCTCGTCTCTTTTTAAAGGGCACGGAGTTCATGTGAGTGTGTATGTGTTTGACCACCTACACACACACTCCTCCCATCCATTGCACCTATACCCAGTGTGTTTTAACGTAATGAGCCTTTATAATGCAGCTCATCAGTATGCTGGAAGGGAGCAGGGGTCCCTCCAAAGCAGTCTGGATCAACTGGAGTCGTAGTTTGCTATCCGCCCACACTCAAGGACATTACATTAGCATTGATTGTCCTCTACACTTCACCTAATATTAAAAGCACTGAAGGAATACCAGGAGACTTCAGCTCACTAGTCTATTAATAATGAGACTCCTGCTTAATCACTCTAATCAAAATATCTGATTAAAACTCTATAATGTCTTTTACAAGGATCCCAGCATGTTTTGGAGACACCCCACTGCTGCGCCAAAGTCATCATTCATTCAGTTAAGGTTATGGAATTGTGGAACTACATTTCCCAGAATGCCACATGGGCCCCTTTTTTTTTTTTTTTTTTTTTGTCCAACCACAGCTCTGCTCCGGGTTGACCATGTGCTGTATGACTGCCACCGGACGGCTGTCTGTAGAAAGTGCAGGAAAACGTGCCACACAGTGACACACACAGCACCACCATGCAGGCGGCTCGACCCGGACCAGCGGCGGCGGCAGCGGCGATGATGTAGAGATGGATTAGAAAATTATGTGCCTCTTCATCAACATGTTTCCGGGAGTTTTCTATGCACTGCTGGCGGGTTTCCTCGGGGCCGTGGCGTCGTCGTCGGCCAAACTGTCCCTCGGAGCCGACTACCTGAAGGGAGTCTGTGAAACCGGACTCCGGACGTGGGGAGAGCAGCGGAAATTTAGACAAGCGGACGAAACTACCGCCTGTGACCGGGTGAGGCATCGCCGCAGTTGAGGTTGCGTTAATTATTAACACAGCGCGGACGGCCGTGAATAATGCAGACGTGCATGCCTGCAAGCGGGGTGCTTTCTCACAGAGGAAGTTGGGGGGGTTATCCCCGCCTCTCCTCTCCTCCCTGACTCCCTCAGCATCAGCACCATCAGCAGCATCGCACGGGGGCAGCCCATGCAGCAGCTGCGCTCTCGTGCCGTGTCCGCGTGCTTAATGACATTGCAGCTCGTAGTGCGTGAGTGTGTGAACGTGTGTTATCGCGTTATTTAGTGTCTCAGCGTGGTGGTTGTTGATGGCGCGGAGGAAGGCTGGGTTTTTCTAAAAAAAAATAAAAGGGTGGGGGGGCGGGGGTCAGGTTTCTTGTGTGACCTTCACGCTCTCCTGCACGCGTCACACAGTGATGTCAGAAACATCTGCAGGCAGCTGTTTGTAGCCTTGAACCAGTGGAGACGTCAAATAGTGGCCTTTTTAATGTGAGGGATGATTACAAATAGCAAATAAGGTGTGCAAGTGGATGTAGGCAAATGCTCTTAATATTCACCATGAAGACTGAATGCGTCTTCATACATACAGCAGATGTGGCTCAGGAGGTTGGTGGTTCGATCCCTGGCTCCTCCCACTGCTTGTCGAAGTGTCCTTGAGCAAGATACTGAATGTGAGTGACTGAGTTAGTTTGTGTTTGCCATCAGAGTGTGTGAATGGGTGAATGTTTATACAAGTACAGTCCATTTACCAAATAACAGGAATCCTTCACCATATAATGCACTGGTTAATTATTAACACGGAGAAATGTGATATTTGCTGTGGTTGATTGTAACTAAGTAAATTTACTCACTGCACTTAAGTACAGTTTTGGCCTACTTGTACTTTATACTTCTACTCCAGGAGCAGAGCAGGGGGGGTTGGCTTTTGTGGCTTCAGCCCTGAATATTTTCTCAAAGGCCTTTTAGGGGTGAGGAAGAGAGAAGAAAGGGGGGAGTGATAGAGAAAATTGGGGGTGGGGGATGAAGGAAAGGAGAGCAGAGGTGCCAGCAGTAGATGTAAGATGTGTTTAATCTTTTATGCATCTTAATTTTATGATTTGAAATCTATTTTGTTTTATATTTTCGTCATTCACTGGAGAAAATTAACAGGGATAAATGAGTGGAGCTGAGAGTGTCCAGGGGTAGATCAAATAAAGTACTGTATATGCTTATCCTACTATTCTATTCCCTAAGGAAATAAAACATATATATAATATTTAATATATAAAAGCCGCATTTACTTGGCAATGTTGGGACTCTTGATCTAAAACACGACTGTCTTAGAGACTTAATCTGTCAGACAGGTGCAAATATTGTGTAGGTGGCTGCAGTGATTTAATTTAATATAATTCAATCAATTTCATCATCATTTCTAATTGTTAATTTAATCGTGCAAACAAGATGTTGCTCACAGTACACAACTTTAGATGAACTTTTCAGTTTCTGTTTTTGTTTTTCAGCTCCATATCCCTCTGAGGCTGCTGTGTGGTGGGCTGCTTTTCACCTGCAATGCTGTGATGTGGACCTTCCTTGCCAAAGCACTCAGGTACTCCTCTTCCTCCACCCGAACCACTGTGACCACCACCGCCTCCAACTTCATATCTTCCGTAAGTATCAGCCTTTCTTCTTACAGAACCTCCTTCGCTCTGTTCTTTGCAGTCTTTGTACTAAATACTTCACACGAGACTGTGGTGGAGTGTAAGTTAATTTCAGAGTGACCTTACATCCTTTTGTCCTGATATATGCAGGGTTTATTTTAGAAAATAGGCTGGACTATATTCAGAAATAACTTGTCGCAGGGATTTAGGCTCCTTACTTGTCAAAGTTCAACTCCTTGTTCGACATGTCCCACCGAGGCTTTCTTATTGGCTGTAATTTATATTGAATTATAGAGCCTTATTTACTTTGACTAAGAAGAAACCCTGATTATCTCCCCCCTCCCACAGGCTTTCCTGGGGCAGCTGATCTTTGGTGAAGCCCAGATAACGTTGTGGTGGGTTGGGATCTCCCTGACCTTCTCTGGGCTGTTGGTACTGCAGAGGGTTTCGCCGCAGGATGGACATCATAACACGGTCGCCAAGGACGAATAATATGCGTTGTCTCCACTAGCTCAGTGCAGCCTGGCTCCAGCTGGCTGTGGTACGTGGTGCGATTTTTGGTCGGCATCTCTTCTGATTTTAACATCTCGTCAAAGAATAGCAAAATCTTAAGTGTATTTGGTCGATTTTGTTCTTTTATAAAAGTACATTTATTGAATTAAGACTCTCTTTCTGCACTACAGTGAAATAACAAGAATCATTTCCTGTAACTTTGTGGTCATGTAGGCTGAGAAACACTGCTGGCTCAGCTGTGGTGCAGCCTTATTTAGGCCTTTTTGTAAAATCAGAGGACATGTTGGCTTTCAGCCAGTCTGAGCGTGGTGCAGCTACAGTCTGGCTAGTGGAGACAAACTAATGGATGCCTGCGCCCAGCTTCCCAGAAGCACTAAAATCATCTTTATCCACAGGCTTACAATGAAGCAAAAATTATACTAGCTTTAGTCAACAACAGCACAACAAGTCATGAGCTAAAAGAACAGAGAGGAAGGGAGGAGAAAAAATGGGAAATACAATCATTTGCACTCTCATGGCTGTAAGGTAGATGCTGATGCCATTGGCTAGTTAGCTTAGTTTAGCATAACGAGTTGAAACTAGTTTGGCTCTGTCTGAAGGTAACAAAATCTGCCTACAAGCACCTCTAATTAACTCGTTATACCTCGTTTGTTTAATTCTAACCACCAGTGAAACCACAAATAGGGTTTTTTGTACAGATTAAACTAACAAGAGGCAGATTTTATTACCTTTGGACGAAGCCCGGCTAGTTGTTTCCCCTCCGTTTCCAGTCTTTATGCTAAGCTAAGCTAACCGTCTCTTGGCTGTAGGTTCATATTTAACAGATAGACATGAGAGTGGTATTGATCTTCTCATCTAACTCTCAACAAGAAAGGAAAAACATTAACAAAAGAGACATTTGATACATATATAGAAACTGTGTGCATATTTACTGAGTGATTTGAAGTAATTTTTTAAGGGTTTTGTTCAATGGACAAATAGCATCATTGGCTACGCGCACGATCCACCATTGATCATGCCTGTGCATTATATATCACAGCCGTCAGATCACCAAAGCTTTCTTAATTCTCACATACCTCATTTCCACCAGTGCAAACCTACGGCTAGTTCTGGGCTGGTGCTAGTCTTGGTTCAGACTTGGTTTAACTTAAGAACCTTTTAAGACCTGGTTTGCTTTTCCATGGGCACCATAGAGCCACGTCATTAGATTACTTTATACGTCTCCAACGTTTGCTGTTGTTACCAAGGTTACGCTAGCTGTTGGTCAACTAACATTACCCAAGAAATGTTACTAACCTTGAATGTAACATTAAAGTTGTTACATTCACAACTTTAAGAACAAATTAATAGCTTGCTAAACAGTTAATAAATACATAGCTGACTGCCACAAGGCGCCCCCAACCCCTGGTGTAAGCAGTTCTTGGTGTTGGTGCCCCACTGGGACCACTCCTGGGCCCCTTTTGGGTGTCGAAATGCGAAGAACTGGTTCAAGATTAGGCGCCGGCTCCGAACCAGCACTTAATCTGCCTTGGTGGAAAAGAGGTAACATTTCCTTAAGTTACTACAACATTTACTATAAACATCCAACACTGACATTTTTTGCATGCTCGAGGCGATGTTATAAATGAAGCACTTAGCTAACAAGGTGTATTTTCACATGTAATAACACTAATGTAGCACTGAAAGGCTCATCCCTGGTAAGAATTTGCTCTCTTCCTGGGTGTTTCTTTTACCTTTTTATTTGCCTTTCTTGACAGCTTGAACCTTAACCTCAAGATATGAGCATGACACATGTTTTCAGAGGCAGCTGGTCTTTAATCATAATGATAGATGTGTGCATGTTCCTACCAAGGCCTGAGCTCAAATATCTCACAACAGATAATCCTGAAGCGTCAGTCCACATCAGAGCGACGTCCCTGTGAGCTGCATTATTTCATTAAACCCAGAATCTTGTGACTTACTTAAGTTGCCCAACTGTCTCTCCAGCGAAAGACATCACACGGCCTCTTGATTGCCTGTTGTTGAGCTTTATGCGCCCTCCATTTGCAATCTCATATTACTCTGTTACATGCCATGATTATCAGTCCATCACTCATAATCTCTCGGGGGTTTCATGCACACCTGGCGTAATTTAAAGCTTCCGCTCTACATCCCTGGAGTTGTCAGTGAGAGTGCAATAACATTATACTTCCTTTAAACCTCATAACACTGTGATGTGTGTAACCGTGAGGGAGCTTTGAGCATTAATAACTGAGCATAGGCAATGGTAATATGCTACCAGAGGGATGTTTCATAAATCAGCTAAATAGTATACAGGGATTTGCCTGAACATGACATCAAAGGTTGCTTTACTGAACAGTATATAAAGATCACACTTTGCTGTTGTTTGGATACATATCATAATATAAATGCATAACGGTAGCTATAATACCTGTCTGTAATATCCCACAGCAGCAATGCACAAATATATCCGATGTCCTTCCAGCTGCTGCTGTGCAGGTTTTGTATCATGCGATTTACATGCATCCCTATTAATGTGACTGCAGTGACAATGTGTTTATACAGCTCTCATATTAAAGGCCGGCTGAGTGATGTTTTATAGCAGGGCTGTACTCCCCACGCAGGATTTCTTTTTTATTATCAGTGGAAATCACTCACAGCCACCGAGCACAGGCAGCGACTTCAGAAGTGAATTTAGTTGTTTGTGTCTCCGTGTTTTGGTACCCTGGCTGTGTTTGCAGTAGTATATATATATATGTCGTTTTTTGGGGGGAAGATTATGAGCTTTCTTGCCAAGAGTAAGTTGAGAAGATTAATACCACTCTCATGTCTGTAAGGTAAATGTGAACCTGGAGCTAGCAGCCAGTTAGCTTAGCTGGAAACATGGGGGGGGAGCTATAGCTTGACTCTGTCCAAAGGTAACACAGTTAGCCTACCAGCCCACTAATTACCTTGTTTTATGGGTTTAATCCATAAGTATAAAAACAACTCTAGCTTTACGTTACTTTTGGGAAACCTTTTAGTCAACAACATGAGTTGTCTGTACAAAAACTGAACGGTAAAAACAACAATTTGGAATTTTACTGAAGGTGATGTGAGTATTTCTTGACCAGGAGCGGTGACTTCCTGGAGTCTTGTCGTCACTGTGATATTGCTAACCAGCTAATCAACAAGCATGTTAATTAATGAGCCTTAAAGGAACTGCTCGGTGAAATGGAAACAGAGGCAGGCCAGCTGTTTCCCCCGTTTACACTCTTTATGCAACTAGCTACCGGCTGTAGTTTCATATTTAACGTACAGACGTGAGAGTGGTATCAATCTTCTTCTTACTCTCAGCAAGAGAGTAAATAATCATATATCCAAAAAATGTGTCCTTTAATCTACCTTTAATATCGGTAATCCTTGCTTTTGATTCTTAAGATTTTTTGGTGCCTGGCTTTTCTCCAGTTAATGGCATGATATGAGGGTAAACCATCTACCTGTGAACCCACTCTCACTGTAATATAACCAGTCAGAGCTTTGCAGTAGCCACATTTATAGCTCTGTGACAGCGGCATGGCCCTGAGTGTGATGTATTTATATCCGTGTGCACATAAACTGTAGATGTGGATGTACGGAGAGATTAGAAAACCGCTAAAATACGATCTTGACCTAACAAGGTGTGTGTGTGTGTGTGTGTGTGTCACATTGATGAGTTAATGTGCTGCAGTGCAAAAAAATACCAACAGTAAATTTATCAGGACTTCTTGTGAATCAGTAACGTTTTGACCTATCTCTTGGTGTACTGTTGACACCGGAGCTTCTTAGAGGAGAACAGTCTTTCTTTGCTCAGTCTGAATACTTAATGAGCAGAATGATGGAAAACAGACTGATTTTGCATTTGTTTGTTGGTAGTCTTTAAAGTGAAATATGTGCAGTCGTGGCTTTAATCTGAAGGCTGCTGCACTGACAAATTGAACATCATGTTTAACTTTTTAACACAAATTAAAACAGTGTGTTTAGATGGAGAGACCCTGTTTGCTATGATATAATCCTTTCATGATGTGTTTTACAGATTATGTGAAAAAAACATTTGTAAAAGTGTAAATATATTCTGTTAATAGGAAACACTTTAAAGGATGTGTAAATTGTTATCTCCACTGGGAGAAAAAACACACACTGTTGAATTATTAAATAAACATCTCATCTGACAAACAAGATCCTCGTCTCCATCAGATGTTGTTGATTGTGGGAAGATGTTAAGTACGTCGTCTGTTGTTCAAATAGAAAAAGCTTCTATTCTACATCCAGATGTACGGAAGCGTATTGCATTTACTTGAAAAATTATTTTTTGGTTTTTATTTTTCTGAGTAATTTTTTTTTGGGGTTGTTTTTCAGATTTTCTGAATAATTAAATAATAAATAATAACTTTTTCTGAGTTTAGAGAGCATTTGAAACAATAGATGCATTCATTCCTTTATTGAGAGCTCGATTTAACGGAAACAAACATAACCGGCTTGTTTAGTTCAATCAAGTTATACTTTGATCTGGGTTTAAGACACTGGGAGATAGTCCCGTCTTTAAGTCATATAGATGGTATTATCATTAGTTTGTCGACTCTACGCAGGCACCTTGCAGTTGTTCAGAAGAAAAACCCCATTCAGATCTGCTAGACATAGCAATATATACATATAATATATAATATATAATATATAATATATACATAGCAAAATTGACCTGGTACGGTAGATAGTTGAAGATGGGGCATGTATGTGCAGGGAGCAGTCACCATAGGTCCATAGGAGTCACTTTCAGGTTGGAGGTTCTCGCGGGAGTTCGAAATATCTCAATAATTCAGGAAAAAAATTACTCCGAAAAACGGGGGGAAAATTACCACGTAAAACAGGAAAAGAATTACTCAGAAAAACAGGAAAAAAGAAATTTGTCAGAAAAACAGAAAAAATTATTCAAAAAACAAACCAAAAATGTTTTTTCTTTTCAAGTGAATGCAATACGCTTCCATACACATGAACTGAATTAGACGTAACAATCAGAATTACCTCTTGTTCTTGTAACATAAATCAGTTTGAAGCGCGTTCAGATGCATTGCTCTCCAGTTATATGGCAGATAACAGCTTGCTTCTGCAATGAGGACAGAACGTTTATTTATAGTTTTTATTATTTGACACAATATCAAAAAGATGTATTTTTTTCTTTCCATTCCTGAATTTAAAATAAGGTGTCCAAGTTTCTTACAAAGGTTTTTATTTTTTTTCCAAAATACACAAACTGAGTCAATAAAATATCCATAAAACTTCATCAGTTTTACCTTAAAAAATATTTTATATTACAACATACTTGCAACTCATACACTTTATAATGTAATATTTTAATTGAATTGAATTGTCCAATCCATCTGCAGCTACCATCAAATAGTGATGTCCAAAGGTATTTATATGATCAATTCTCAATAAAGCTTAGAGGTTTTACAGTAGAATTTTTTGTAGAATAATTTACTGTGTATGGTATCAGTTTTTAAATGATTTTTACAGTGAATAAGACCTTGCTTTTTTATTTGTCATTTTTTGGCATTTCATCCCTATATCTGAATTTCTCACAAAGGACATTAAAATTATTTTCTAAATTTCTCACATAAGACCATATCTGCCAAAATGAAACAAAGTCAATAAAATATTTATAAGATTAATTAAATTGAAATAAATGTTGTGAATTACCTAGAGAAATCTGCTCTTGTTATTCAAATGAAATTAAGATATTTCTCATGATGAGCTTTAGTGTGGAATAGTTTATTATATACTTCTGTAATTTCATTTAATGGAAAGTAACTGAAACTTTTGCTGTCTTCAGTATGTTCAATATATTTTTTTTTGCAAATTTCTCACAAAGTAAGACCTTCTCTGCCAAAATATGAAGCAACTTGATTAAACATAACTTCACTGAAAGTTGTGTCACATACATACAGTTTTATTTCACCCCCCTTTAAACAAATACCACAATCAAAAAGAAAAAAAAAAACAAACATCCTGTGGTCCACAGTAAGTTCTACAAATAGTATTCATTACAGACCACAAAGAACATACTGAACAATTCAAGAAAAAAGAAGAAAGCTGGTGTACTGTATGTGTAAACTGGATTGCAACTGTTGGATCTCCACATGATGGTAACCTTTTTTTTTGTACATCTTTTTTAAAAGCATAAGAAAATGTCATTCTTGACTATGCTCTACTCCTGAAATGGTTTTATTAATCCCTTCATTAAGCATTCAATTTGGCAACATGTATGTTCAAATATGTCCTTTCATCACCCTCAAAAGCATGTTTCATAATTACAGTAAGGCTTTCGAACACATTTGGGCAAAGGCATTTTGTGTGTTAAATGCTTTGAAGGGGCCCATTTCCTATCTGCATCAAGTTCTCATCACCAAAGGTAAAATGTATAATCTCTTCCCACTGGGTGGCCCAGTACTGTCCACAACTGTGACAATTAAAATGTGCAATTCTACTGTGGTCTTTCAGGCCTCTGTGAACATTTTCTATTGACCTAAAGTTGAATCAACGTTTTATCCTGTAAGGCTTTTTCCCCTCTGGTCGGGCTCACAACTACAATCTATGACAAACTGGATTATCCACAAGCAAGTTCCATCAATTGAGAGCGAGTGAATTACACTTAGGGTCAGTGCATTCAGAGAGCAATGTGTATTGCTTTATTCCCTGACTGTCCATCTGAGCTGGTGACTGTGATGGAAATAATGTTCATGCAATGCAAAAAAAAAAAAAAACAGTCAGCTTCATTTACTACACAAAGAGGTGTCGAATGATCAGAAGGACACTGGTCAAACTGGAGGACTTTAGGTATAAACTGAGAAAAGAAATGTTCTTTACCTGCCAAGTGTGAGATGTGGGATTTTTAAATTATATTCCTTAAGATTTGTTAAGATTTTGCCTGTTTTGGCTTTTATCTCACTTACATCAGCTTCACTAAGTGTGTTTCCAGCCACTTGATTTTGTGCACACTTTCAATTTGTGCCTTAAAAACACCCGAGTGGAAACAAGAAAACTTTAAAAATGTACGTCATCTCGTTGAATCCTCTTCCTCTCCTACGGTTTAATGGCACCCGACAGAAGAGTTGGCTCCACCAATGTTTTATCTCAATCCATTCAACCCCTAATATGCACATAACGGTAGTAGATGGAAACGCACATTGCTGGGGAAACGTGATGGAAAATTGAAATTTAAACTCCAGTTGTTCTTCTGTTATATTTCTGACAAAGTAGCTGCTCAACAAGTGTTCGCTGTAATATCAAAATCCCATCTGCTGTTACCATGGTAACCACAGGTGTCGCCGAACCCACCTGTACTCATATCTTAAGGATTATAACTTCAACTAGCCACTGTGAGGCTATTGCTGCTCTCTGTCCTACAGCCTTGAATGGATGTCCTTCACAGTGATCTGGCATCAGAGAAGGATACAACAAACGCATTTAAAATAGTGTATAACCAAATGTGATCCTGTCTCAGCTGTCACATTAAGGCAAAATAATAGAAATGTCTTTAAAAAAATAGGAGATGCCGTTCACTAATGCACTGTTCTAAGGCAAATCATCTCAGCAAAAGACTATTGCAACGACAAAAATACAGCGAATGAAGAAGTGACAGGATCACAACAATGTTTACAGGAAGACAAAACCCGGTGTCCCACCTTGGCACCGAACTGCACTTCTTTGAGCAAAAACTTTCTGGACTTCAGTTTCACATTGTTTAGTCTTGGAAGCAGGAAATGATCAGACATACTGCAGGATATTTTCCTCCGGAGAAGGCAGAACTCAGTCTCTTGGTGTTTCCAACTCTTATTAAGTGCTTCTTGTCAAGTTGTAGAGTTTTTTTTTTTTGTACAGCTACAGCTCATTAATCTCATTCAGCACCAAGAGGGAAACAATAAAATGAAGAAGGTTTTTAAAAAATAAACATACTTTGACAATGTAATAGCTTACAGCAAAACACCCTGAAATATCAATAAATGAAGTATCCATAAAGGAAAGAATATGTAGAAGTGGTTAAGAGGAGTTCATGCTCGTTGAGGTCCCGCCAATAGGAGGGCAGACCAAGATTGATCAGTCTAAGTCCACAGCAGCAGAGCTCAGCTAGGCTTTCAGCTTTCACACAATGTACTGGTACACGTCTGCCTTGCCGTGGTCGGGAGTTGCAAAGGGGCTCAGCCAGGATATAGAGAACGGATGGCCAAACACCACCTTCATATTCAGCCATTTTGACTTTTTGGCCCATCTTCTTTCCTCCTTCTTAAGCTGTTCGATACCCTGCGGGGACAAGATGTAACACACAGGAGGAGATGTGATTCATGATTAAAGATGATACATAAAAGAACATATAACTGTGTAATAAAAATTGTATGTACCAGCAGAAAATAACACAGCACAAGGGATTTAAAATTAAGCGTGTTGCATTATTTTGTTGTTATCTCAGAGCTCTTAATCAGGGTTAGGTGACTCACTCTCAACATTTCCTGATGTCTAAGAACAGCACACATACACAGATGATGATGCATTAACAGTACAGAGGCTCATTAAATTGAAATTGACTGAAATAGATGATCTTTGTAGTGAATATTATAACGCCGTGAGTCACTGCCGTGGGTGGTTTGAGCAGGCACGTTATGAGAAAATGCACTAATCTCAGCCTACCTGGAGGATATAAGTGAATTACATTCTCCCACTTACATTTGTGCTCGGATTTAGGGAACAACAGAGTATGAATTTATGACTTATTTTAGGAAGTCAGAACTGCTGTATAACTATAGAAAGAGCTGCATGTGTATTTGGTTAACTTAACTCTAGCCCTGATGCTGCAGTGTATCTGGTGTGCATCATTATACTGATGGATGGACCAACACCACAGACCAAATACAAGTACTAGTACTTACATTTGGGTACTCGCCGATAACGACTACTGGAACCCTATATAGATGGTATCTAGATGCCTAATTACAGTGTAATGAATAACGTGTATTTTGGGCATTGTGTGCTTTTATTAGAGTCGACAGCAGAGAGATGACAGGAAATGACAAAAGAAAGAGGAATTTATGGTTGGTGCAAGATTTTCATAAATTTGAACCCCATTATAGATACTATTTATGGTCTGCGTTTTTCAGCAATAACCATCAAATGTATACATTCAGCAATT